GCGTTTGTGGCTGTCACAGAGGTCACATGATCAGAAAGCACCGACCTCAAGTAGCGATCGGGACCTTTCCGTGAGGCTATGGTGAATTTTTTCCGTGAACACGCAGGGTGCGTGCTCTAGGCACATCTTTTGTTTACATTGGGTACGCAAATATGCGGCCCGTCAGTGCCAAGGTCCAGCAGCCAAGAGGCTGCATATTTATGTGAGCTCGGCTCCAAGGAGTTACGCTAACTGTGTATTTTATGTTGTCCTTTAAACCTTATAAAAAGACCCACTTCCCACTAAATGTTTTTTTTTTATTTGTTTTACATTGGTGCATGTTTTTTTTTTTTTGCAAGATTTGGCTCCCATAGATTTGGCTCCAATGCTGTTATGATGCTATGATTGTTGTTTGCAATTATTTTTCAAACTCAGTTTGCTCATTGCTAACTACAATATAGTATCTTCCATGTTTAGCCTGGTATTTAACTGGCAAGAGAGGGCTTTACTCCCCTGCTGGACCATGCTATCTCTTTGGGAACCAAAGACTTTTGGTGAGGGGAGCGTGTAACCTGGTATTTACCTGGCAAAAGAGGAGCAGCTGCATTCTCCATCCACTAAAGGGTGCCCGGGGAAAATGGAGTACAAGAGAGACTCTGAGGAAAATTGTGAAGAATTGAGGGAAGTGTAGTTTACAAGAGAGACTGAGGTATTACCACAGGTTGGTTGGAAAATTGCGATTCCCAAAAGAGAGACAATAAAGGAGAAGGACAGCAATGATTTTCCTGGGTGGATGGAGGAAGGAGGCTCTCTATCTTTTTGGAGACCAGTGCTGGTCTCCCAAAAGTAAGCTGAACTTCTTTATTTGAAAGCAGGGAAGCAGAGTGGAAGCTATCCTTGAGCCATGGATTGTGACTTGGTCTGTGGGGAACCTGCTGCTATGTAAAAGGCCACATGCAGAAAATGCCACTAGAAAGAAAGAAAGAGGTAAGCCTTCTGTGCCTGGAACTGGGATGGAAAACCTCTACTTACACATGACTGGTGAGCAGCCACTGGCCAACCATACATTGCAGCTTAACAGAGGGACAAACGTACCAGCTGGGAACACTTTTTATTTTTGCATGCATCACTTCTTAGCGAGAAACTATTTAGACCACTCCAACAACATATTTTAGGGCCCCAATGACTTGGCCAGCAGAAGGTTTAGTACATATGGAGTTCTGACTGCTGACTGTTGCTGCTGTAACCTATAGGTCCTCTCTACCCTCCTTAGCTAGGCTGTCCTGTGTAGGTTAAGGAAAGAGGTGGATTATTAAGTGTTCATTTTTTGCAGCTTTCTAATAATTTCAGTTAATAACTACAATATTACTGTTTGCTAATGTTTGATCATTAACTGTTGTGTTATAATCTTTGATGGTGAACCCATTTCAATGTACACTTTCCTTCCAGATATACCTCCATATAACCTCTTCTTGCTCACACCAATTACAATATACTTGACTGATGCTTAAACAGGTCTGTGTAATTTTATGTGTACATGTATTGCTGTGTTTGTGGGTATTCTTATGCACAGGTGTCTGTATTTATAACCTTAACCCAACTAGGTATATCAGAGAGTACAAAGCTGTTAGCAGAGTTGTAGGCACAAGAACAGAGGACCAGACGCATCAAGTGGTTCCTTCAGGGGTTAGCGCTACACACAATAAAGTCTCTTACAATCTCATTATTTTACCATAAGGTCATTAAGAGTTCCTGGGGGAACACTATGCCTGGTCCATGTTCTCCTAGGAAAGAAAAACATATTTTCTGCTATTATGACAGGGCCTAATTAAGTCAGATACCCACAAAAGAGGTCCCCTCTCTATGAATCCCTGTGTGGAACTCTTCCTCTACTTGGTAGGAGAAAAGGAGCGAAAAGTAACGCTGCTTAAACACATCTGTGTTTGATTCACAGGCAGTTCGGCCGAACAGGCAGAAATCTTTGAAGTAACTAACCCATATCTGAACGTTATTTAATTTATTCGTGCTTGAATTCATGGTGGCTGTACATGCCGTATCTCTGTTATTGTTGATTTCAGGCTTTGGTAATACTGCAGGGAATTCTGGGCAATATCATTAACCAAATGCAGGCAGGAAATTTAAATGACCACAGCTAGGAACCTGTCACCAGGACTGCACCATTTAGACATAGGCGGGCGTTGGGTCATCGTGATTGATATGGATTGCATCTCTAAATGCAGTGATAGATGGGGATTACCTTGCTGGATGCTGTGATTAATGCTGATTAATGCAACATAAGTCCCTATATTTACCACCACTTCAATTTTGGGGTAAACATAACTGGGGAAGAAGCTCTTGTCCTTCAACCTTGGGAGAAAGGCATTTTGCAAGGGGAGGGGTAGGATTTGCCACCGCGCTTTGCAAGGTACCCTCCCAGTGTTGAAAAGAACATGGCTTGCCACAGGAAGAGGGAGCTTGCTACCCTTAAATTTTTCTAGCTACCCAAGCTGTAAACTTGGATAAGAGTATGGTTGGAATTTTAAAGCTGATCTTCACCCTTGCTGTCACTCTAACTAGTACATTTGGGCCAAGCTGACCCAAGCAAACTATTTTGTACACTAACTGGTGTACCCGCTGGTCATGCCATATACACTGTATGTAGCCTCAGCTATATACAGTATATAGCGCTGTGTTCTGGCAGTTGGATGGAAATTTCGCTTCCCACACCTGGAACAAAGTCGGGATGAGCTCTGTTCAGCCATTAAAGTGTTACTAAACCCACAAAAGTAAAATCAGTCTGTATATGCAGTAAATCATGCTTGTTGTACTCACTGTGGAACCTAAGGGGTTAATCCTCTGCATTGTGTTCTCTGATCCTCCCCTTCTTCCAGTGTCTCCTTCTTACCTCCTGATAAAATATATTGTGTAGAGACACTTCACATGCTCAATTTGGTGTGTATTGCTAGAGGGTTTTTTTTTTCTTGGGAGAGTGCATGTGATCAGCACAGGGCCAATCGGCACTACCCAGACAGAGGTCAGGGGTCCTGCATCCTCCTAGAGAAAACTCCTTCTACAAGCTTTAACCAGTGCTCTGCAGAACACTGATAGAAGTCCCAAGACTGCTGTAACTGCTGATGAGAAAAAGTATTTAGCAGTTTATATGTTGTGTGTACTGTTGGAGACCAGATATAGTGAATGCAGGGTCCTGGGTTTAGAAACACTTTAATAGACAACTTTGTATTCTCTGAATGAATACAAAGCTTCCTCTGAGTCAGCGATTGTGCCATCATTCGCCCGCCTGTCTGCATCAGGTAATCAATCACAGCATCCAATGATATAATCCATGTCAATCAAGAGACCTGTCACCTGCTGATCCATACATGCCTCACTAACAACGCTATTTCTGGTGGCACATTTCCGGTGGCAGCAGTACTATCTGGAATCCTGGGTGACATCATAGACCAATGATGTGTGGATGAGCAATAACCTCATGTGTGAAATGGGAGAAAATTTGAAGCCTGTTTAAGTGGTGCATTTATCATTTTGCGAAGCAGCAGTGAGACATCATGGTGGGACTGGAACACAGGAATCCCATGTACCCAGGCATTTTTTGGAGAAAATCCATGATCTTGATAAAAAAATAAAAACATATCGAAAGCTGCATATTATCATTATTATCTTTTATTTATTTATTTTTACAGAAAATGCCCTAAATAGCAGTATTCTAACAACTTGACTTAGTTTTTTTTTTTCAACAGTAAAAATAATCGTTTTTGTTGCATACATTTTTTTGTGTTAACCGCTGTGTCCATTAAAATGACAGTTCAGAAGTAAGTTTTATTCATAAGAGAACAAAGATTGCATTTTTCTTACATGCCTTATGTGACAATTTTCCTTATGACACTTATGTGACATCTGTTTCTGTTCAGATCCATTTCAGCAAGGGATACAGTGACACAGATCCTAGGTTTAGATGGACCAGATCAGACATGGCATGTGAAAAGCACCTTATAGTGACTTTGTTAGGAAATGTGTCATATGCTAAGGTCAATTTCACACAGAGGCCTCTGCCTCAGTATTCATACCAAGGCAGTGGATCCAAATTGAAACTAATGTACACAGATATACAGTACATCCATGTACACTAAAGACATTGGGGTGGATTTACTAAATGCAATTGTACTCATTTTCCGCAGAGCTTAGTAAATGTGGTAAATCTCTGCTGATTTCTATCATCTACATGCAAGCAAAAATGGAGTTTCATTGCACCTAATTGGATATTCTTTACAAAGTAAAGCTTTACCACATTAAATTTACTAAGGAAAATGAGTCCATCTATGCTATATTGTAAATCCATCTCAATGCCTTCCTATGCTGATGTTGATGGATGTACAGTATATCTCATCACATCAGTTTCCCCATAGGAAAATGTTGTCTTTTTTTAACCACTTGGCTCCAGAGGATTTACCCCCCTTCCTGACCAGGCCATTTTTTATGATACGGTGCTGCATTACTTTAGCTGACAATTGTGTGGTCATGCAACGCTGCATGCTGAAATGTATGTCCTTTTTTTCTTACAATGGAGCTTTCTTTCACCTGTGTGGTTTTTATATTTTGCGCTATAAGCAAAAAAAGACCGACAATTTTGAAAACAAAAACCCCAATATGTTTGACTTTTTGCTATAAAACATATCCAGTAAAAAAATCTAATTTTGTCACAACTTTAGGCCAAAATGTATTCTGCTACGTCTTTGCTAAACAAAATCCCAATACATGTAAATTAATTGGTTTACGTGAAAGCCATAGCATCTACAAATGGCGGTATATATTCTGGATTAAATATATATTTTTGTATACTAGTAATGGCAGTAATCAGCGACTTATAGCGGGACTGGGGCTGGCATTCTGACACTGGGGGGGAACTGACTAACTGTCACTGACATCCCCAGTGACACTAATACAGTGATCAGTGCTAATAAAAAGCACTGACACTACACTATACTAACGACACTGGACAGGAAGGGGCAGGGGCGGACTGACAACTCATCGGGCCCCCAGGCAATAGGGGATCATGAGGCCCCTGTGTCCTTGCCCAAACTCAAAAAAGCCTATGAAAAAGGTACCGGGGGCATCTCATGGGGCCCCCCACTGACCCCGGGCCCTCTGGCAGTGCCCGAGTTTCCAAATGGTCAGTCCACCCCTGGGAAGGGGTTAACATCTGGGGCGATCAAAGGGTTGACTGTGTGCTGTGCGTGTTTTACTATTTTGTCTGTGTCCTTTAATGTGTAAGCATGCTGTTTTGTATTGCTCTGCTATGCAGAGCAATACAAAAGCAGCATGCTGACAAGGGAGAGATCTACTGTATGTTGTTTATATACAGACCTCTCCTCTGTCAGTGTTCCTTGGCGATTGCCAGATGCCGACGGGGAATCTCCAGCCGGGGCCATGTGATCGACAGCTGTAGCCGCCAATGGCGGAAATACAAAATCACGTATATATACATGATTTTGCGCAGCCCTGCCGCCCTGTAGCAGTACTTCTGCTATAGGACAGTGGGGAAGCAGTTAATCTATCTTTGAACAGATGCAAAGTGTACAACAGGGGTGTCCATGTGAAATGGGTCTAAAATTGTAAATTTGGTGTATTTCTTGTTTTAGTTCCTACTTGATGGTTTATTAAACACCTCACTAGGGTGGTATCATCGTGATAATCTATGATAAGTCTAATCACTAGCTTTTCCCCATTTAATAAATATACACATTATAGTCCCCATAAACAGCTTGAATTTTGGCTGAATCAGTAAAAAGTAAGAGCTCTGGTGCCCCATACAATCAACATCTGGTTTAACAAGTCAAAAAATCAACTGAGCCGGGAGGAATATTATCAGCCAAAGAGTGACTTAATCCTATTGAATGCAATCAGTGTTCGGTAGTGCCATTATATTCAGGCAGTCATGGGTGCCTAAATACAATAGTAGGCAGTGGAGATTTCTTCATCCAAAGCCTAATTGGGGAATCATCTTATTTTACTTGTTCAGCCCGTAGGCTGAATGAGAGAAAATCAAGCTGTGTATAGCGGCATTTAGTCCACACAGTAATGCTGCCTAAAAGTTATTTGTAGGACATTTCCATCTCAGGGGCTCCTGTCACACAGCTCTTTGTCATAGGTGGATCACATTATTGAAATCCTCCCCTGACTTTGGAGATGTCCCTTTTAGGTTGGTATTAAAGGGATTCTAGAAAGAACTCCAAGAGCTGTTCTTGAAACTGTGTTTGCGGTTACTACGTTCAGGTTTTCCCTTTCATTTTCTAATATTAAGGTAAATGCTTCTGAATTTTTTACTCTGCGCATTTGTTTTAATCACTTTATCCTGCAGTGTTTGAAAGAAACCTTTATTCAGCAGCAACAACATCTGTTTGAGTTGTTTTCAAGAGCAATAGGCTTTGCGTGTGAGAAAGTGTTAGACAATAAACAAAGAAAGTGGAATTTACATGCAACCACAATAAGAAGGTTTACTTCGCAAAAAAAAAAAACCTTTGGCTTGGCAGATTTAGAACAAACTATTGTATATAAATTTCCACATTATTATCATTTCATAATATTTTCATTATTTCAAGATGATAATATGGCCAGTTTCCCCCAGTAATAGTTTTAATTTTTCTCTGTAAATGTGTCTTAAAGGGAATGTATAGTCTTTGCAAAGTTTTTTTTTTGCATATTAATAAATTAAATCAGTTTGATGTTAATTATTTTAACAATATTTGTTAATGTTTTAAAAACTTTGTATCTCTGTATAATTTGTAATTATACAGTATAGGTGCAGACAGGGGCGGACTGACAACTCATGGGGCCCCCGGGCAATAGGGGATCATGGGGCCCCTGTGTCCTTGGCCAAACTCAAAAAAGCCTATGAAAAAGGTACCAGGGGCATCTCATGGGGCCCCCTACTGACCCCGGGCCCTCGGACAGTGCCCAAGTTTCCAAATGGTCAGTCAGGCTCTGCTTCCTACTTTGCAACAGTACACAATGGTTGCGTATAGTGTTCCTTCTCACAAAGCAAATCTAGAACTTGGTCGACTCACTGAAAACAATGTACTCCTGTGTGGCTGATATCTTAACCACTTGCCTACTGGGCACTTACTGTATACCCCCTTCCTGCCCAGGCCAATTTTCAGCTTTCAGCCCTGTTGCACTTTGAATGACAATTGCGTGGTCATACAACATTGTACCCATATGAAATTTTTATTATCTTTTTCACACAAATAGAGCTTTCTTTTGGTGGTATTTACTCACCACTGGGCATTTTATTTTTTGCGCTATAAACAAAACAATAGATAAAAATTTGAAAAAAAAAAAAGGTTTTTTTTTGTTTCTATTATAAAATTTTGCAAACAGATAATTTTTCTCCTTCAATGATGTGCGTTGATGAGACAGCACTGATGGGCACTGATAGGCGGCACTGATAGGCGGCACTGATAGGCGACACTGATGAGGCAGCACTGATATGCAACAATGATGGACACTGATAGACAGCACTGATGGGCAGCACTGATCGGTGGTACTGACTGGTGGTACTGCTGGGCACTGACTGGAGGCTGCTGGGCACTGATGGGTGGCACTGATGGGCAGCACTGATGGGTGGCACTGATGGGGGGCAATGCTGGGTGGCACTGCTGGCCACAGGTGGGTGGCACTACTAGGCACTGCTGGGCACAGGTGGGTGGCACTGCTGGGTACTTGTGGGCAGCACTGTTGGGCACAGGTGGGTGGCACTTGTGGGTGGCACTGCTGGGTACTGATCATCCTCTGACAATTGCCAGTTATCGGCAGTACTTTCCTCACGCTGTGACAGCGTGAGAAAAGTGCAGCCGATAACCTGCAACTGCATTTACCGGTGATCTGCTGTGTCATTGGACACAGCTGATCATGTGATTGGCCTTTTACCACATCAAGTGATCATCTGTCTCCGTAGGACACAGCGATCACAGAGATCGCTGGGTGCGTACCCCCAGGGGCGCGCCGAAGGGAGCATTCTGGGAGGACATCACATGACGCCCTCCCAGAACTGGACAACCACTCTGTAGCCGTCATTCATCTATAGCGCAGTTGGCAAGTGGTTAATAGTTGTTAAGAAAGCCTCTAGTCCAGGGGTCGGCAACCTGGAAGACTGGAAGATTGTGATCTAGGCTTGCTGACCCACCATCCCAGGGAATCAAGCAAAGTGCAATGCAGAGGGGCTACTTGTAAAGTTGGATCTGTAGTAGGGAGCAGGTGCCGCATGAGCTGATACCTCCTCTGTAGTGCTGGCTCCTGTCCCATGTGCAATATAAACTGCACTCCATCTCTTATCTCCGTTAGCGGTCTCCAGAGTGGTACCAGCAACAGGAAAGAAGAAATCTTCAAGTTAGTGTGAAGCAATACACTGGGCATAACAGTATAGGGCTACTTGATGCACTGTGGCTTATCCACACCGAATGCGCAGTGCAGTGTACCTGCAGCTTTCCTGCAGGTTTGCTGCGCTTAGCCATAGACTTCTATTATATTGTGCAGGTTTGGTGCACTTTCAGAAAGTGCAACACACCTGCAGGATATAATAGATGTCTATGGCAAAGCGCAGCTAACCCAGGAAAGTCACAGATGCGCTTCACTGCACCAGTGGTGCAGGTAAACCTCAGTACATCAGTGTGAAAGCAGCCTCATAGAGGGATCAACACTTTAAGGGTTCATTTATATTTGCAGTTTGGGGGGTTGTAAAACCCCATAGTTAAGATGTCCCCCTTTAGCTGCAGAGGCCAGGGGTGTACACATGTTGCAGTCGCAGCAGGTGTTTTACGCCCTGTCATGGCTGGTGGGTGTAGGACCTGCCAAGTCTGACCCATTCAAGTGAATGAGGCCACTCTGCAAGTGCCCTGCAACCTTGTGCAGTACAGCAAACAAGGGCTAAAGCAGGCAGCGTTGTGTTGCTTTATCACCATCTAAGATTGTAAGCTCCAAGGAGCAGGGCCTCCTATCCCTCTTGTATAGAACTGTATTGTTGCTGTATTGTCTCCCGTTATATTGTAAAGTGCTGAGCAAACTGTTGGCGCTATATAAATCCTTTATAATAATAATAACAACAACAGATATATACAGTATATATATTTCTTAGATTGTAAGCTCCAAGGAGCAGGGTCCTCCTAACCCTCTTGTATTGAACTGTATTGTTGCTGTATTGTCTCCCATTATATTGTAAAGTGTTGAGCAAACTGTTGGCGCTATATAAATCCTGTATAATAATAATAATAATCACAACCTGCTTTAACCCTTTGGACCCTGTAGAAGCATACAGTTACGGGGCTCTTGCAGAGTGGCCCCATTTACTTGAATGGCTCATCATTGGAAGGTGGTAGCACCCACCAAAAGCCACAGGAGGCTTAATTCCTGCTGCAGCACATATACGCCTTTGGCTGCTGCCTCAGCAGCTAAAGAGGGTAGGAATTGTAGGCAGTAAAACTGTGACTCAACCGCAGGGCTTTACCACCCCTTAACTTTATGCGTGAACTAGCCCTACGGATGCCGCTGCCGAATGCAACTAAGGGCTCATCCAAAAGTGCAGCAGGCACTGCTACTCCTCTGAAAAGTGATCTGAGTGTATTTGACAGGTGGTGAGATGGCAATATGTTGCCTCCTCATCACCTGATTTAAACCCATGATTGCCGTGCAATGTATGCGATTGCTACATGGTAGTACGACAATTAGAGGTTTAAATCAGGTGTGAGGAGGTGACACTGTGCCCAGTGATCTTTGACTTCTCCAATGTTGTTCAGGGAGAACAACATGGGAGAACAACCTGCTCTAGTATCTAGTGGAAAAAATATTATTCCCATGGCATTGGGGTATTTTACACAGAAACTAGTAAGGCCTCATGCCTTATATGCCCGTGCAAAGGGCTGTCTTCAGCTGCCTGGAAGGCACAGACATTCCATGCAGACCCAAGCAAGCAGCCTGTTCTATTCAGTGAGAGATGGCCAGCTGTATTGACCTCCATGCGCATTCCGAAATGTACATCGGCATGTTGGCGGGTGGCAGGCTGTCTTGCGCGTGGCCATAGTGAACAGCCGAGCAAACTTAACATAAAGTGAAGGGCAATACCATACCTTTCCCCACGACTCTCCTGAATGTATGGTTGGTGAGCAGAGACTGACCCCGATCCACCCTCCTCTGTGGCTTCACCCCCTCTCTCCCAGGGGATCCAGACACTGGTCTACCTTTTCCAGACCCGACATTTAA